CCCCCCCCCCCCCCCGGGCGAGTAATCCTCTTAACTTTACCGTCTACAATATGCTACCAATCGAGAAATTAATATTCGTCTTGGGATGAATAGCGATCGCGATCCCAATAGAAAGTCTTCCAATTTAAGGAACTCTTACTTCGGCCAGAAATGACACGGGAAAGGAACTGTATTAAGCGCCGAGTTAATAAAACTTTTTATCGATTTTCGAGATAACTCGCGGCGACTTGTTCGAGCGCGATTTCCGTGAAAATTGTGTACCGCCCCCGTGGGAGTGACGCGAATGTAAAGAAGACTTTCTCCTTTCAAATTTATTCGAACACTTTGTCCAAGAAAGAAAAGATTATTTTTCCATATAAGTCTGTGGAGAACTAACTGAAAACTCATTGATAGAAAAGGATACAATGTAGAACAGCAATCCTTCCAATCCAATGTAAAAACCATTAAATAAATGTTACTATTAAAGTGCGTATCCACTTGTTGCAATGGTGATAGGATACAAAGATATGCAACAAATGGATACGCACCTTTAGGTTGCTGCTGAAATAGTGATCCGTTCTACGATACAATAAGTAATTTAATTTGATTAAAAACAATTAGTACTCTGAAGTTATAGTACATTTCTCCATTACACTACATACTCCCCAAACAGTTCATACTCCTACGATTAGTTACTCAACGTGTTTCAGACTCACCCCACTTATCCATCGAAACAGTAATACAATTTATGAACCAACTAAATATTTCCACGTAAACTGAAACTACCCAGACAATTAATTCCAATGCATTACTTTTCAACTATCCACGAGTCTCCACGCTCATCCACGTGACACCAACAATTCCGTTGTAACCAAACTGCGTTCATCTCGCGGAAAGTCCGTTCGGATTACTGCGCCTTAAACTCTTTATGGCTGATTGAAGTCGAACCAGCGATATCATTACGCGACGACCAGTAAAACTGGATCCCAGTGCCGTATCGTCGTCCTAAAGGCCGTCCCCTATAAAACTGATCTCCCCAGGCCCGTTCGAGCCTTAACGACGTATCTATATACCCGTTACATTCGACAAAAACGACGATCACGGACTACAGAAACGTACTAACGTTTGCTTACGACAGAGCTGGACAGCATAGGGCACCTCACGCGCCTGTTTCCTCTTCCAACCTTTCTTTCCAACCTTTTCCAGACTCTTGTCTCTGTCATTCCAAGGTAACGGTGGACCAACTTTGCCCACCGCTACCCTACGAGGTCGAAACGCAAAACACACGCACAGCTCTAGAAGAGAACGAAGATCGAAAGGTAACGGTTAGATATACGTATAGTGTACTCACCAGTTCGCACCAGCACGTTAAGCAGGATGAATAGCACTAGGGTGGTGGCCCGGTATCCGTGTATTATGATCATCAGCCACCTCGATACGCCGAATCCAGCGTCGTGCCATAGACCGGTGCCCTCGTGTACCATATTTTTCCAGCTCGCCCTTTCTCAACCAGCCAGCTTGCCGCCTCCGATTGCCGTCTCTCCACGTCGCTCCGGCCTCATTCACCGTCGTTCCTCGAATTCGAACCCAGGGTGAACCCGTGTCGTGTCGTGGCTCACGTTTTATCGACGATTTCAGAAGAAGAAAAAAAAAAAAAACGAATCCTCGATCTGTCAACGAGAACCTACGCCGTAGCACACTTTCTGCCCCCGTTCCAAGGGCTCGACACACACAGAGGCACACACACGTTCGGTGTAAAATATTTTTATTTCGTTTTCTCGATGGAGAACACGTAAATCTTTTCTACCCGTTGGGGGTATATCGTTGTGTGAGTAGGATTGTTAAACCCCGTTTCTCGCCTACACCACCATCTAGCTGCTAGATTGATTAGTATACCCTCCTCTGGTCTGCTCGGATAGAGGAAAAGTTTCCCTAGTTGCCGTGGAAACTTCCCGGCACAGCCCAGAGCTAAAAGATCCACGTGCAACTTAGCGAGATCAATCCGGCCAGCAGATATTGCTAGAGTTTATGGAGAGTTTCACCCCCGTCCTAGGTGTGTACCGTTTCGCCACGAAACGCCTCCGACTGGGGTACCTATCGTTGAACGACGAATGGAAAGTTGTGCGTCTCCGCGAGTTGTTTCCCTTCCGTGGAGCCTCGGCCCTGTCTCGGATGTCTTCCACGGACAACTCGTCGTCTTCGTCTACGTTTTACACACGATGGAAACCCAGTTTCCTTGCCAGTCTTATCGAGATCGAAGAGAGAAAGGTATAGGTCACCGAACGCCTCTTCAGCCACTGGCAAGTTGCGCTTCAGCGTCGTCTCGGAGTTGCTATTGTTCCACGGCTATAGATTACGTGACCACCCACCCACCACCCTTGCAGAAACGTTCGAGACACACTGACGTAGTTCCTATCCTCTCTTTTCACCCCGAATGAGTCGGTGGAACCGACTTGGATTGAGATACACGTGTCGAAACGTTCGACGGTCTTGCTGTTTCGAGATATTGTTCGACTTCCACAGGAAGATGCTGCTCTTGCTGCGGTAGGCGGCGTGCCTCTCGACGATATCCTTTGGCGGTAAAGCTAATGGTGTGGTGGTGGTGCCTCTGGGCGAAAGGACTTTCTTCTCTTGCCTCTCATTCAGTTTCATTCGCGGATGTTTCGCTCGTGCACACCGAGTGTGGGTTCACGTATTCTATCTCTCTCCCTCTCTCTACCGTTACGTTATCAGAAATACAAGGACGCTCTAGGCCATACGAACGAAACGTTCCTCTTTCTCGAGTGGCTTTCAACGTTTCCTCGCGTCCCCGCTAGTTCAACAGCCAAAGGCTACCACGCTCCCGTGGAAAATCTCTTGATTTTCTTTTCACCGTCGAAAGATAGAGAGAAAGGGAACCCACTCGCAGACAGACAACTAGCCAAGAAACATCCGGGTGAAAACCGCTCGTTTTCCAAGATTTTTCCCCGCTTCCGTTCGTTACGTATTACACCTCTCTGGAAACGTACCTCTTCGATGCTTTCAAAGAGCATGCGCGCGCGCCCAGGCATAAAGACGGTTCCCGTTTAATTTCTACCATTAATATTATCTTAGTGGAAGAGCACCATGGTCGATTCGGTTTCCCTTTACACCCGTTCACATTCACTGCCCGCTGTTAATGTAACAACCACGGTAGAGAGAGAGCTTTCGCTGCATTAACAAAGATAACGATTACGTGCCACGGTTCCTGCTACTACCTTTTCGACCCTTCCCCCGTTCTGTCGTTTTTAATTGGAGATAGTGTCACCGGTTTCGCGAAGAGAGTGAGGGACACACCCGAGAATCCTGCAGACACTCTGCCGGGCTTGGGCTTCTCTGAACGTCGCCTAGACGTTCTCTCTCGCCCAGGATATTACAGTCCGGATGCTGCTTGCACCACGCGAAACACGACGATCGTTAGGTGACACGGCTAATATCCCTCTACCCCAGGTCTAAGCGGACCCTTGTCTCGCCTACTTTCCCTGCTTCCTCATTTACAGATGTCTCAACTGCACCGCCGTAGCGTCTCTCAGTGTCGCGTTAACGGAGCAACCACCCGTCAACCCACCCCCCGTAGTATACACACTTCCTAGCTTTCAACGCTCCAGCCACATTCTCCCAGATGCTCTTCGGCCGCCGAGATTTTCACCGTATATATATATATCGGTTTTCCAGCGGGCCAGAACTGTACAGAACCCAGGGACGGTGTGTTCCCTGATACAACGACGGGCCCGACAGACCGTAGAAGATTTGCCCAAAGAATTTACCCTGGATTTTCGGGTGGATATTGCGCAAGTTTGCGGAATCTTATGCGGTAACCACAAGAGGTGAAGGGCCACAGCGGAAGACGACAGAATTGCTTGAGGCGAACAACGCGTGCCTTAGGCAACAACCGTTCTCTACCACCCCTCTTTCCGTTGATGCCTTCGTTGTCCCTGTATATCCTGTCGTCCAGTACACACACGGGGTGGTAACACACGGGGTGCCTGATGCCTTCGTGGAAGATCGTCGTGGTTAACCAGCTCCTTTGAGGTATTTGAGCCGTCTCTGGCGCGGTCGGTGGTATCCGTGTATAAGGGTTTGGACCGAACTGCCGTAGCCTCAGGGATTACGGATCACTCGGTTCCTTAAGGGCCCCGCGGTCTGGTACTCCTGAAATTCGAGGCAAAGTGGATGATACACAGTTTGCTCCCACTTCGCCCCTCCACCCCGTCCCTCTGGAAGGTTGTACACGGTTCTGGTATAACGGAGTCGGTCTCGAAAAATTTTAACGGTGAGCACACCTCTTTACGTTTTCTATTTTTCTTCTCTCTGTTTAAATCCGGTACGAAATCACGGAAATCCTTGAATAGGGTGGATGAAGCGGATGAGAGCGGACTGGCACGGGAATTTAATTTCAAGATAGGTCTCCCATTTTTTTCCTATCGGTGGCCTAATGAAATTGCACGTAAATTCGCCGCTCGCTTTCACGCCACCGTATCCCGAGTGTGGTTTATCATATAAAAGCGTTCCGTGAAAATGAATCTACCGTATTGAATCTTGGTGGTACCTGGGAGTGTATTTGAGGAGAGATTAGGTGGTTAATGAAGGATTCAAAGAGCCTGGAGATTATGGTTTTGGAGTATCATATATATATATTTTCCCGGTCGTCGTGAACATTGAGATTTATCGCGAAGAGTGGTAGATGAATCTCCCCTTTCTGTAATGGCGTTTTGTCGACCTATTTAAAATACCATCATCATCCTCGTTAAATCATGGAACCAGCGACATACACAGCGCGACATAACTATAAAACCACCCCAAAATTTTAACCACCCTGAAATTATGAGATACTGGAATGTGATCCTAAGACAACTGGCCTCGTGATATGGGGATGGTGAAGTGATTATAACGATTAAGGTGAAAGAGATAGGAATGGAACAGTTATCATTACCGATTTTTCCACGACACCTGTTATACACTGTGTGATTTAACTATAAAACCAACTTAAAATTTTCAATTCTTATGTATTGTAGTTAAAATAAAAACGAACTAAGTATGCCACGACTGAAATCACGTTGAAATATAACGTTTCTCCAGAAAAGGATTAAAAAGGAATTTTAATTTCAACCATAATGCATAAGGATTAAAAATTTTAGGGTGGTTTTATAATTATACCACGAACCTTCCACAGCACTTGGTAATAGCGTGAAAAGGAGACTGACGAACCAGTGAGAGGGAACAAGGAACGGCGAAACTGTAATAAGTCCTAACATTTAGATTTTCCCGCTTACGTTGTCGTTTCAGGTACGTGTCACACACACAACAGTTGCTGTGACTGATTGTGCTCCGCCTCGAGAACTCGCTACACTGTATGTACATGTAGAATGGGCGGGTGGAACGAGACGACCGGGGATGATTTCGGGAACGTTAACGCGGCCGTTTCGAGGAAGCCACGGGGGATAATAAAGCTTAAATTTCCGCGGACAACGAATTAATTCGTGCAATGAATCGGTTGCTCGCGCGTAACACCGCTAGAATCTCGATCGTCGGGGAAATTTCGAATCTCTCTCGTGGCCAGGTAACAAACTGTTTAACAATAGAACCCGCGTATAAAAGCCCTAGGTACCTTTCAAGCGCGTTGTATGGATGTTTTCACGCCGACCAGGTTTTCAACACCGAAACCCCCACGGGAATTACAGATACTAGGAGGTGGAGGAGGGGCGTAACGGACGTGAAAACATTTATCGTTTCTTTTCAAATCATTTTTTTTTCTCTCTCCCTCTGACGATTCATCTAGCGAGTACTCTTCGACAGAAGTGGCACGCGAAAAGTTTCCACTCATAGAGCGTGGCGACGACGGGTTGAACGACAGAGGAGGCATTTATTAAAAGATCATCACTTATTAGAGGATCCTCGAGAACGAACGTTGCACAACGACACGACCGAGCACAGCCCACGGTCTCTCCCCTCCTCCCTTATCCACAGCTTTTGAAAAGCGACTTTTCCTCCGCCACGAGTGGCTCTCCTCTCCTATCTTTAATACGCGGAGCGTTAAAACTCCCGGAAGACGGCGCGAAATTTAACGAGCGACTAAGGTCGTGGCGGTGGCGGCCGCCCAGGCCGGGCGAGCAATAAAAAAGATGAGGAAAAACGGGGCGCACGCTGTGGGGGCAAGAAACCGGGGATATAAACGATGATGCGCGGCCGCGCTGAAAACCCCCTCCTCCTCCCTATGGCAACGACCAAACCCCGACGGAAATACTAACGATAAGCTTCTCTGGCCGTGGATGGGGAGAACACGAAAAGACTACCGAGTTATTGGCAAGCGATATGCAGTTGGACGGAAATGTATCACAGCGTACGACTCGAAAGTACGTTTCATTGTCGAGCCAATGGGCAATAAACACTTCAATATGTGCAAGAAGCTGACACGTGTCGATGAATAATCACGCGTACAGTCGGTGGAACCTGTGCAGCGGAGTTT